TCTTGTCTCTCCTTGCTATTCTTTGGAATTCTGCATTCCATTTTCTGTAACTTTCCCTATCTCCCTTGCATTTTGTTTCCCTTCTTTTCTCTGCTATTTGGGAGGCACAGTCTTTTTTCTACCTCCCCCTAAATCATCATAATTGTGTGTTGTCAAGTTAATTTTTACTTTTGGTGGCCCTTTCCAGGATTTTCAAGGCTGAGAGTATTCAGAAATGGTTTCCTCTTCTATTCTTCTCGGGTGGAGATACTCTAGTACTGTGCAGCTTGCCCAGGGCCAAAAAAGGCTGTCTCTACTCCTGGGAGGCACAGTGGGCTATCAACCTCGTGACCTCTGGCTCTGCAGGCTGACACCTAATTCATGGAGCTATCTGATAGCTCCATCATTTTCCTGGGGGATTCAGGAAACATATTCCCTGGGACTTATGTTCAGAGTTTAAATATTTGATTGTGACCCCTTAGTGTTAAGAGAAAAGCATTCTGTGCATGCGTAACATTTCTTGTTCTTGAGTTAGATGCAAGAAGAAAAATGGCTGAAATCCTGTTGCTCAGCTTGATGTGCACAGTGGGAATGATGTCATCGGCAGTGGGAAATAGCTGCTGATTAAAGGCTTCTTTTGGTGATTTCAGGATGCATATCACTTGGTCATATTGCGTACAAACTGAATGCATCCCAGAATTGCCAAAGGGAGTCTTTAATCAATGTCAATTTGCCATGTAATTCCCATTGTGCCTGTGGAGCTACACAACAGGATATTAATCAGTTTTCTGACCACAGCTGGCTGGAGAGTTCAGTGAGTTGGGTACCTGGCCAGAGGTCAGGAATTGAATTCCCCACTCTAACTCCTGAGGGATTAAAAAGAGCCAGCCTGTGTGGCCTTGGGCAAGCTGCATAGTTGCAAGGTGCCACAAGAAGAAGAGAATGGGAAACTACTTCTGAATATTCATTGCCTGGAAAACCCTAGGAAGAGTTGCTATCAGTTGGGATTAGCTTGACAGCACATGGTGATGATTATCCTTCTGACCACCACATGGCACAAGAGAGTGCAGCTTGATTTGCTTACCCGAGTTGTCTGAATGCTGCTGTCACCTCTCTGTGTTGCCTCTTCTCCTTGTTGCCTGTGGTGCACTGTGACCTGGGCTGGATGCAACCTTGACGGGCCTGGAAATAAGTCTTTTGGACAAGCGTTTAGACTCGACGTCTAGTATTCTTCTAGCCCAGGCAGATGTGTCCTTTTCAGCAAAGGCAAAATGTTTTCTTGAAGGCAACATCATCATCGGAAGACAAGCAACCTAGCCTGGCTGGCCTCTAGTTCACCTCTTGCCCTTTCATTCCAGTTTCTCGCACTGATTTTCACTCAGAGGTTATAGTAAGGGCACATACTGAGTCAGCAATGGGCGCTACCTACAGCTGTGCACCCCCAACACTGAAAAAAAGAGAGGCTGCTGCTGAGGCCCAGCCTGGCCCTGTATTTTGCAAGCTAAACTGTAATACAGGTGAAGTTTCTTCAGATGTTTGACCCAATCTGGAGGTGTGCTTCAGTGAACCCTGGTGAGAACATGAACAAGGTTTCAAGACAGTAGGGCTCAGAGGTTTTTTTCTTTTTTTTTCTTTTTTGGAAGCCCAGATGGGAAGTGGAGGTCTTCTCCTCCAAAGAATGTAAAAGTTACTTTTTTAGATGACAAATTCAAGAATTCCCCAGCCCACATGCCAGTGCCACCACCCTTTTTTCATGTCATAATACAAAGATCAAAGATCCATTTGCCAGCACATATAAGTTGCCTTCAATTGGAGGGTTTTCTATTATTCACCTCTTTAACCCTAGAAGAGGTCACATGCCTTAAAACTGATACCTCAGAAGCTCTCCCAAGAAAGAAAGAAAGAAAGAAAGAAAGAAAGAAAGAAAGAAAGAAAGAAAGAAAGAAAGAAAGTGGTTTAAGAAGAAGGCATTCTGATTTTCTGTTGCCTTTATGAGTCAGAAGAACAGCTGCACAGGCATTTCTAGTGTGGGAAAATTCTCTTGTGGATAGTTATAAAGCATTTATTTGTTTGTTTAATTTCTGTCTTTCTCCCAATTAGAGGCCCCTAGGTATTAAAAGACAAAGTATGTAGTTAAAAACAGGAAAAATATAGATTAGCATTAAAATAATTAGTGTTAAAACATCTGAAAACAGGTCTAAACATACTTTAATGATATGCAGCACTCAGAATTCAACCTCTGCACTGTCCAATGAGCTGTTAAAAGGTTACCTGAAAAGTACTGCCTTCATCTGTTGCTGGAAGGATGAGAGGGAAGGAGCCAACCTGGCTTCTGAAGAAGGTCAATCCACAGCCTGGGAACAATCAC